TCACACTTCATTCAATGCCACCCACTCGCACCACTCCTACCTGCCCTCCTAGAAAGAGTCCTTCGTTAAAACTTACTCTGCCACATCATACACTTTCCAGCTCTACCTGCTTACTAACTCATTCAACAACAAACTTTTACTGAATGCTTACAACATGCCATGAGCTGGGGGAACAAAAATGACAGCAGTATAGTCTTTACACTCCAGTAATTCATATTCCGCTTAAGCCATGATCCAATAGTGCTATGATCAGTGATGCTCAGCTCCAGAATTAGGCCCACCTGAAAAGTTTTTAAAACTACAAATGCCTAGGTTTACTAACCTAGGTGGGACTCATATATAAAATTTCTAAACCTCCCTCAAGGATTTTACTGAATAGCTGGAGTAAAGAAGAACCAAAGGATGTGTTAAGTGTGGAAAGGTGATAGGAATCTGGAAGTGGTGGGCATTGATATTGGAGGTTTAAATTGTATGCTGAAGGATGAGTGGTTTTCCAGGAGGAGAAGAGAATTCCAGGAAAAGGAAAGCATAAAACCTAAACCTAAGGCTTTTGAATTTATCAGTATAATTTTTACTACAATACCAGTAGAAAAGCATTAGAAGACTCATTTCTGAATCACATTTATGCATATTAACTATAAATTTCTAGGGAGAAATACCTTTACTTTTGTCCATCAGTGTAGTTAACACATAGTATAGTAACCATTTTGTTTTCATGGTTAGTTTCTTCTATAAATTACAAACCTTTCAGGAGAGGAACATTTGACTTAATCTTTGTAACCTCAAAACTGGTGCACAGTAGGTTTCTCAACCCATGTTTGTTGCATGAATGAACGATGGTCTCTGTGTCATGATCTTAATAACGGAAATTTCAAACCAAGTGAAAAAGAGATATTTGGGGGCAGGCAAGCCTCTCAATTCCACTTGCAAAGCATGAAAGTGATCACCTTTGTCTATGTGTTGTGGACCCATTTTGAAATATCTGAAACTTATCCATTTATTTGACAAGAATTTATTGTTTCTATTATATACCAGGCCCTCGATGTATATATTTATTTTCAAAGTGATATGAATTTGTTTTTCTAAAAAATTGTAAGTAAATATTAGAGAAGGGAAGTTTGCACTTAATGAATACCAACCACGTGCTTGGTACTTTATATATATAGCTAATCTGTATAATATCATGTAATTTTTAGTTCTCACATCAATCTTAAAAATAATCTTTCCACTCCTACCATCATTTTTATAGATAAGGAAACTGATGCTCGAAGGTGCAGCATCCAGGATCCTGTGGCTAAAGGGCAGAAGCACCAGAATTTGGACCAAACTTTGTCTTCCTTCAAAGCTCAGGCCCTTTTCCTCACACTACACTACTCCATGGGTTAGCCCAAAGGTTAGGTTGTTAGCAAAGAGTTAATGAATCCATGATCAAGGCCAGGTCTGCATGATTAAAACGTGACCAGTCAACAAAATGAGCCCACGTGGCACACAGCATCAAAATGCTCACTTTAAACTAGTAGATTATCCTGAAGACAATGGCAGTAACTTAATCAACTTCTCGCCACTAATTTAGTGGTCTTGGAAATACAGTTTATGATGAAAGTCTATGAGCACAAAGTGAAGTGGAGGTTTGTCAGTTTTTATTAATGCTGAAGATCAAGCTGGATAACTCAGAGTAGCCTTTTTTATTTTTATTTTTTGAACTGGTTTTGCTTGATTGATTGCTTTTAGGCCATTCCTTCAATCTCTTACTTCTAAACAGCACGACTTAGAGCATTAACAATTATCCAGTTAATTTGGCCATTGTGAACAATCAACTTGGATAAGAATAATACTGAATTGACAACCAGAAAATAAATCAGGGTCAAATTCAAAATTAGATTATGAGATTGTTAGGCCATACTAAAACCAGGCCAAAAGTCTTTAGAAATTTATCCAGGTCATTCCCAAATACGTGTCGATATGGGAGTGGGGGAGGAGGATGGGATGGAGAACTAGTTAGTATACCCACCTCAGGAATGAAAGGATTGTATGATATACACCAAATCCTGCACAGGATATGCAGATCTCCTGAGCGCAGCTCCACCGTGCAGCACTAGCTGGGCCAAGGCCTCTCACTGGCCCACAGTGCCGGGAGGGTGATTCACAGACAGATTTGAAACTCCAGAGTCCATGTGGAATGGTTTCTTTGGACCCCTCTTCCTTAGGGCCTGCTCTTTAACCCCTCCTATTCAATGCATTTCCTATCCAGGAACATGTTGCAGACAGTGCCAGGGTTCTGTGTGTATGAAATCTTGACTGTCTGCCTTGTGGAGTCAGTGGCAGGACATCTAAGAAGCAGTGGAAGGTCCAGGGCAGAGAGTGTCCCTTACTTCTAGGGAATGACTCAGACGGAAGGACTCTCCTCAAGACAGGAAAGGCATCAGATGTTCTAGCTCAGTCTTGGAACAGTAGTTGACCATTAATGGACAGGAATTCTCTTTAGTCAGACACTGAGTAGAGCAACTCAAATGTTCTCTAACTCAGGCTAGAGAGAAGCCCTCCTAAGTTCCTTGACAAAGTTCTTTAAAAAACTGAGGAAATGGGCCTAATAAAGATTTAACCATAGGGAGGCTACGAAAGCCCAAGAGTAGGATTAGCCTATTTGGGAGAACAGTAATTATAACTCTGTCTGCCCAGTACTCCCCACCACTTCAGGGCAAGCAGCCTCAGCAAGCAGGGCAATGTGGCTGGAGACAGGAAGCCTGAACTCACTTGGTCAGTGTTAAACCTCACCATCAGAGAGTGTTCCCAGGAGCCACAACAGGAAGAGAGCAGAGCCCATGAGGCAGTGAAATGGAGAGATGGGCACTCCAGCTTCTGGGTATTTCATGTAGACCTGGGATGAGTGAGGCCACCCTAGGATTCTGCCTGGAGAGGAGGGTCTTGGGGGCACCGGGGCTCCTGATTTTGGCCTGGGATTTTGCTTCCTTAACGTGACTTTGCATTGATTTGTTCTCATCCATTATGTACTGGGTTGTTTTTATTGTTGTTGGTTTTAATCAAATCTGAGTTCTGCTGATGTCCATGTTCTACCCACATTTACTGTTAATTTAGTGAGGTCAAAAATAAATACCTTAGGGGCTGGCCCCGTGGCCGAGTGGTTACATTCACATGCTGTGCTTCAGCAGCCCAGGGTTTCGCTGGTTCCGAGCCTGGGTGCGGACATGGCACTGTTCATCAGGCCACATTGAGGTGATGACCCACATGCCACAACTAGAAGGCTCCACAACTGAGATATACAGCTGTGTAATGGGGGGCGTTGAGGAGAAAAAGGAAAAATAAAATCTTTAAAAATAAATAAATAAATACTTTAACAGGTATTTATTTGGCAAGGCAGTATAGCAAAACAGTTAAAGTTTGGGCTCTGGAACTAAAAAAAGTTAAAATCCTGACTCTACCATTATCTACATGTCCTTGGGCAAGTTCCTTAACCCTGATTTCTCTAAGCTTCAGTTTTCTCATCACTAAAATCGGAATAATAAATCCTATGTCACAAAATTGTGGTGAGGATTAAATAAGGTGAATGTAAAGTGCTTAGATCAGTAATTCTCAATAAATGCTATTTATTATTATTATTATCATTATTATTATGGCTTTAAAGTTCACAAAGCATCATCACATATATTTTCTCATTAGAATTATTTAATGTTGACATACAATGCAAGTTAGGGATGCAAAAGTAGATTAATAGGGGAAGGGAGAGATTGGTAAGGGAGAGATGACTTCCTCCTCCTTTCGCGGGCATCTACTGTTGGATGAATTTTATAAGCCATCCCAAAGCTCCGAGTCTCATGTGCTCTGCTCCTCTTCCCTGTGGCTTTCAGCTTCCCTCCTCTCTTAGCTTCATGGTTGGAATGTCCCCACCTGGGGTTGTCACTGTTCCAGCACAGGCCCCTCTCCACTTCATTTAGTCATCGAAGCTTTCTCCGTCTTACTCAGAAAATAGCCAAGCCCCTGTGAGGGAGCAAGAGCACAGCCCACGGTGCTCACTCTTAGTCTAAGCGGGGCCTCTCTGGAGGAAATGCCCAGTGCAGAGGTGAGGACTGGGCGAAAGCCTCAATGTCACCCACAGTATTTTCTCCTTTCCTCTTAACTTGAGGCTTCCCCTTTATGTGGCTGGGGAAATCCAGCTTAGTCATCTCTGAAGACCTTGAATTAAGAGCTATGGTTGCTTTTGGTGGGGAGAGGTGGCTGAAGCAACTGTCCCCACCTACACCCAACATTTCATGTTCATCTACTCAAACCCTCCAAAATGCTCTATCCTCTCAGAGAAAAATATACCATCCCTATAATCCCCCAAATTAGTCAGAATGACAGACTCAGCCTTCGGAAGGGTGTATACATAGAACAGTTATTTTTGGCATACTCTTTCCATAAGATCCTCTAGTCACCAGTCACCTATTCAAGATTATCGTCCCATCAGCCCACTCTTCCCACACTCCTGAGAATAGCGCATGAAGAGATAGGCAGGTCTGGCTCAACCCATTGCCAGGCCACTTAAAACAAGGTTATCGAAAAGCTTAATTGACAGAATATAATCAATACCTAGAATTAAATCAGCAGATGGACTTTTAAAGCTGAAAATTCCATGCACTGCCAAAGTCTCTATCTTTGGGATGCCCTCCACTTCACTAACAGCTATTGATGAGATCAGGAATCTTTTCACTGAGGCTTCTGTTTATAGCCTCCACTAGCCTCCTCTGATTCCTTTGTGCCTCTGGCTCTTGCCTTGGACCACAGCTGTGGGCTCCACTTCTAGTTCTGCCATCTCACGCACATTTTGAGTTAAGTGTTCAGCAACTTAAAATTTTTGTAAGCCACAGCTTACGTACAGAACACTCACACTCTTAACTGACAGGAAGTCCAAAATCTATACTTCAGTTCATTCGGTGGTGGTGTCTTTTTCTTCTCCCTGGTCCAATATATTGACCCTGGCTATCATATTTTTTTTTTTCCAGGAAATGGAACTGACTTTAGGGTCAGTGCCCTTGGAAGATTCTCCCCCCATCTCTTCTGCGTTTTGATTCATGGAACCTCCATCTCTGCCCAGTGATGCAGCTGGAATAGGTTGCATAATGGCCACCCAAAGATATCCCTGGAACTTGAAAATGTTGCCTAATTTGGATAAAGGGTCTTTGCAAATGTGACTAATTTAAGGATCTTGAGATGGAGAAATTATCCTGGATTATCTGGGTGGGTCCTCAGTGTAATCACAAGTATCCTCATAAGACAGAGGTGGGGGAAGATTTGACACACAGAGAAGATGATGAGAAGATGGAACAGAGAGATTTGAAGATGCTAGCCTTGAAGGTTAGAGTGACACAGCCCCAGGAATGCTGGAAACCATCAGAAGGTGGAAAAGGCAAGGAACAGATTTTCCCATAGAACCTTCTCCTGGAGGAAGAGTGGCCCTGCTGACACTTTTATTTCAGCCTAGCGATATTTAATTTCTGGCCACTGGAACTGTAAGAGAATAAACCACTCTCTGGGTAGTTGTTTCAAGCCACCCAGCTTGTGGTAATTTGTTATAGTAGCCACAGAAAACTAATACAGCAGCCATGTCCAAAACATCTTTCCACTGCATTTCACTCAGTGTTGCATGTTCAGTTTAATTTCAAGTAACTCTGATGACCTTTCCCCTCCTTCCTCTCTTTTCCAGGAAGGGAAGCCATTTTTGCTGACAGCAGCATATGACATTTTCCAAAAGTTCTTTAGAAACTTTGGGCTTCTGGGATATGGTTTTCTCCTCTCTTTTCTTTTACTCTTTCTCAATAATTAATGGGAAAGTACTGTAAAAGCTAGTGTACTTGGTATTCTCTCAACCAAAACTTTCCGTTTATTAACCAGTATTTCTAAGATCTTCAGTACAATGATGGTCTTCATAATGATGCCTTTAAGACTTTCCAAAGCCCTGAAAAGTTTTCCAAGACACTGAAAAAAAGGTCAAATTTACAAGTTTCTCTATGTCCTTAGAAAAGGCATAGCCATTTAACCTGTCTGGATCATTGGATTGTCTTTAGGCTACACAAAGGGTCTTGAAGCCAGGCGGCTGATAGATTGAGGAGAAATGGAAGGATCAGGGAATTGGAGATCTTAATGAGGTAATAGTAAAAGCCAAGAAATGAAGCTGAAATGGAAAGGGATTATCAGAGGAGTTTCAGACTTGACATAGTGTAAGGGTTGAAGCTGTATGGGTGAAGGTCCTGAGGGAGGACTCAGTAGCTTAAGTAAGGTGACGGCAAAAGGTATTGGTGTCAGATGGTCATAGAACTGGGAACTCAGGGTGTTAGGTTGATCTTCCACAGGGGCGCTATTTGTCTAGGATGCATGAATTTAGGACACAGAGAGGAGAGAGGAACACTGTGACCAGGATGAAAAAAGTCTCAGTAAATGAAGACTATGATCGGGATGTTGAAGGATGCTAGATCAAGGGAGGGGGGTTCAAGAAGGATTCTTTAGCAATGTGGAATGAATTAGAGAAGTGAAACAAGAAAATTATAAAATGAGGCCCTAAAATTGTGGTAAAGGGGTTATTCATGAACCTCAAAAAGGCTGTGACCCTACAATGACAAAAGCCAGTGTCCTAGAGGTTATTCTCTAAATCTTTCCCCCTTTCTTTCCATTTCTAAAGTTGGTCAGGCCTTTACTGCCCTCTGTGCAGTTGGGTTTCCTTGAGTTTAACTTCACTTCATTACAGTCCTCCTGCACATCACCACCAGACAAATCTCCCTTGAGTGTATTATGAGTATGTCACTGCTTTGGTCAAAACCCTACGGGCTGAGAGTCAAGACAAATACCCAAAAGAAAGTGATCCACGACCTTTCTCATTTACCCAAGACTGGGGGATTTCCAAGGATGCAGGACTTTCAGGGCTAAAAGTGGGAAAGTTCCAGGCAAAACAGGATGAGTTACTTACCCAAGAGAATTAATTCCAAGAGAAAAGGAAGTCTCTATTGTTATTCAAAGATTCAATGGGTTAATAAGACCCATCAGAATATCCCCTCAAACAAGACCCACGTCACTAGTAAATTTAAGACCAAAACATAGACACAATGAAATCACAGACAGCTGCAACATCTTACAATGCCTTGGTTTCCCTAGTAGAATTTCCAAAGCAAAAGCTGAATCCCCAGAATCTGCTTCATCTTTTATATTACAATCTAGAGCCACATTTTTGGTATCAGTCACAGAGTGGCTCTAGCACTAAAAAGTCCCACCTGCAAACTGGGTTGGTTGGTTACCCGTGGCCTTATTAGGTTTTTTAGGAAGTGAGAACAGAAGACAAAAGGGGAAGGTCTTTATTAACTTGGCTTCTCCAGATTTTCCATCTATCTCTGGTAGTTGTTCAGATTTCATCTTCTGTGAACCCAAAGAATATTCCTCTCAAGAGATTAATTGTGATGGTGTTGGGCTGTTTAATGAAATAGAAAAAAATTAACCATAAACACTGTGATCAAAAGGATAAGGTAAATCTTACAAAACTAAACATACTCTTACCCTATGATCCAGCACTCATACTCCTTGATCTTTACTCAAATGAGCTGAAAACTTGTTTACACAAAAACCTGCACATACATATTTATAGACCTTTTCTTCATAATTGCCAAAACCTGGAAGCAACCAAGATGCCCTTCAATAGGTGAATGGACAAATAAACTCCAGTACAATGGAATACTCTGGATAAACAAACTCTGGATAAATAAACTCTGTGCAATGGAATATTGTTCAGCAATAAAGAGAAATGAGCTATCAAGCCATAAAAAGACATGGAGGAAACTTAAATGCATATTGCTAAATGAAATAAGTCAATCTGAAACAGCTCCATATGCATAATTCCAACTATATGACATTCTGGAAAGGGCAATACTACAGAGAACAGTAAAAAGATCAGGGGTTAGAGAGAAGGGAGGGATGTATAGGTGGAACACAGGGTATTTTTTTTAGGCCCGTGAAACTATTCTGTGTGATACTGTAATTGTGGATACATATCATTATACATTTGTCAAAACCCATAGAATGTACAACACAAAGAGTGAACCCTAAGGTAAATTATGAACTTTAGTTAATAATAATATATCCATATTGGCTTATCAATTGTAACAAATGTGCCACAATGATGCACACTTATATATATTTATAGACATGTATATATATTTACATAATATATATTTATATATGTATAAAATTTATAGAATGTTAATAGCAGAAAATAAAATTTATAGAATGTTAAAAATAGGGGAAATGGGTGGAGGTGGGAGTGAGGTGGTATGTGGGAACTCTCTGTACTTCCTGCTAAATTTTTCTGCAAAGATAAAAGTGCTCCAAAAAATCATCTATTAATTAAAACAACAATAGACTCCATCTCTCAAATGTGGAGTCAATAGGTTTATAATCAAATTAAATGCCAGTTTTTTTCCCAAGATAATATTAAGCAGAAATCTGAGAATTTTACAATGGAATTATCCATAAAATGGAAAATCAAATTATGAAAATATTACTGCAGTGTATTAAAAGTGAAACAATGTCAACATATTAAATGTCTTCTAAAAAATATTTTTTTAAATGTCTTTGAAAGGACAAAATTATAAACAGTAAGAAATTTGGGAAAATAAATTTGCCACAATATGACACTCAACAATATGAAGGGTTGGTATCTTTACTGTAAAAAGAGATTTTATACGATGATGAAGAAATACGCAAACATTCTAAAAGAAAAATAGGTAACAAATATGAACAAGAGATTCACACAAAAAAATACAAATGGCCAATTAACATTCAAAAACATTCAAACTGAGTAAGAATCAAAGAAACGAAGAAGAAATGCCAATCCTCACTTATCTAGAGGCTGTGGGGAACTGAGCACTCTCGTACATTGGTCGTCCTTGTACAAATGACTATGACCTTTCATGGGACAATTTGTCAGTGTACATCAAAAACCTATTTTAAGGTTTTTTTTTTATACATATTTTAATGTATACTCTTTGACTAGCAGTTCTATTCCCAGGAATTTATTCTTAGGAAATAATCCAGAGGAACTGACAAAGTACCACAATTTATATTGCAGTCTTAACTATAAAAGGAAAAATTGGAAATAATCTAAATCTAGGAGATTGATTAAATAAATGTTAGGATATGGGGTCGGCCCGGTGGCGCAGCGGTTAAGTTCGCACGTTCTGCTTCTCGGCAGCCCGGGTTCGCTGGTTCGGATCCCGGGTGCGGACATGGCACTGCTTGGCAGCCATGCTGTGGTAGGCATCCCACGTATAAACTAGAGGAAGATGGGCACGGATGTTAGCTCAGAGCCAGGCTTCCTCAGCAAAAAGAGGAGGACTGGCAGTAGTTAGCTGAGGGCTAATCTTCCTCCAAAAAAAAAAAAAAGTTAGGATACCATACAGTAGAATATTATAAAACTATCAAAAATGGCAATGGGGGCCAGCCCGGTGGCATAATGGTTAAAGTTCTGTGCACTCCACTTCAGCGGCCCAGGTTCCCAGGTTCAGATCTGGGCCTGGACCTATACCACTCATCAAGCCATGCTGTGGTGGCAATCCACTTACAAAATAGAGGAAGACTGGCACGGGCGTTAGCTCAGTAATAATCTTCCTCAAAAAACAAAATGGTAATGGAATATTTTATAATTCATTGACATGAAAAGATCTCTACAACATATTGTCAAATTATAGAGTTACAAGACAGCCTGTGTCCAATGAACTCAGGTACACAAATATGAGAGGTAGTATTATGTAATAGGTCAAGGCCAAGGCTGCAGCATCAGACAGACCTGCACTCAAAGCTCTGAGGTCAGATGCTGACTGGCTGTGGAAACTTGGTCACATAATGTAATTCTCTTTAGCCTTAGTTTCTCATCTGTAAATTCAGGATAATAACAGTCTCTACCCCTTATGGATGTTGTGAAAATTAAATGAAATAACTTAAACAAAGTTATCAATAATGGCAAAGAAAATCATCTGAAAAATGACTAAAATTTTAATAATAGTTTTGGATGGATAGAATTCTAAATGACATTTCCTTTGGTATAATTTTTCTCTATTTTCTAAGCTCACAACAATGCACAGATAGTACTTATATAATAAAAAAATTATTTAAAATATCATGATATAGGTCATTTATTAACATTGAAATAGTTCCATAAATAGATTACTAAGTGAAAATAAAAAGCTACAAAACAGAATGTAAATGTTATAATGATTTTTTTGTTTTCTTGTTTTTTTTTTGGTGAGGAAGATTGGCTCTGAGCTAACATCTGTGTCAGTCTTCCTCTATTTTGTATGTGGGATGCTGCCACAGCACAGCTTGATGAGCAATGCGTAGGTCCACACCCAGGATCCGAACCTGCAAACCCTGGGCCGCCAAAGGAGAGCGTGCAAACTTAACCACTATGCCACTGGGTGGCCCTGATTTTTGTCTTAAAACAGGCACATACATAGTAAGAAACAGTGAAAGTGCATACATCAAAATGTTAACAGTGCTTATCATTGATTGAATTATGGCTAATTTTTGTTTTACATTGTACTTTTTCAAACATTCTTCATTAATCATTTGTGAATTTTACAATGAGATAGAAAATAAATATTATTAAATAAGAAAAGTTAGAAGTACATAAATGATAGAATAAGGGATTATTTGGGTCAGAAAGTATAGGGCTTCATATTAGAACATCAGATGACAGGCTAGAATAATAGGGTGGCTCCTACAACTGGAACATAGAAAAGAGTAAAAACAAACAAACAAAAACACTCTCTGAATGTATGCAGAAAAATTTAAATGATGACATTCTTACACCCACAGGCTAGGGTAAGTTTAACACCTGTGTAAGTTGCCCTCCAAGAGATTTGCATCTAAATCCCACTGTAAGTTTACAATATTGACATCTGTCTTCCCTAGGAAATTCACAGGTCTCCTTCAATCCTGTAAATTAAAGACCTTTCCAGGGTCCTAGATTCAAGCCATTGCTCTTGGTATTTCCAGCTCCGCACACCTAAATTAATGAGAGCCTGCTCTGTCCAAGAAGACAGCCTTTACTTTAGAGAAGGTATATGCCTCATATTTGGCTTTGCATTTCTTCAAATTCCAGGCTTCCACTGACAAGACTGTTCTAGTCCCAGAAGTGAAGCCAGATTCTGCTCCCACCATGAGGCATGGAGCCACACCGATGTGCAACTAGGTGTCTTTGTAGTCTCAGCCTTTTCCGCCGCCAGAAATGGTTCTCCATCTCTTTCTACTGCTAATAACCAGCTGAATCTTTGAGGAAGATCACTTCTCAGCAAGAATACTACCCACAACATCATGCTGCCTAAATCCTAGCCCCCTTTGTAACCACACCAGATGCTAGTCATGTACAATTAGTAGAATCAGTCTGACCAGGATCCTAGATCATACATTTGGCCACACAAGTTTCTCCCCAGACACATGCACAAAGAACACAGAATAAATGCCCACTCTTCATTACCAACTCATGCTGGACCCAAATCCTATCAGGTCTCTTGCTGAGCAGCTGGGCTGGACAATGTGGCACTCCTCCAGAATATTTCTGCCTTTCTGCCCTAAGAATGTTCCAGACACTAATCACAAGGCAGAGATGAAAAGAACATTACAAGAGCTAACCAAAGCCAAGAGCCCTCAGAAATGATTGACAGGGAAAATATTCTCTCAGCCCACTTCCATGTATAATGACTTCATTCCTCCAACAGAATCTCCCACAGAATGATTGTTTCTATGAAATCTCCATTTTGTTCTAGATTCATTTCAGAGTTCCTTTTTCTTTGGAACGAAGGATGGAAACCTTGAGCTCCCCCTGGAGGTGGGAGTGTGCCAGTTAAGAATCTCCTTGGACTGCGGCTCTTGACTCATTCCACTCACTCCTTAACTTGTTTGCTGACTTTTGCGCATTTCCAGTCAGCTTTTAGATGACCTGTCTACGACCTCGCTGACATCTGACTGGAGCTTCCACTCTCCTTGTATTTTAGCTACTCTAGTCTTGATAATAGGAAGGGTCCCTTACCCGGCTGCATAAACAGCACAGCCCATGTTTTCCAATCTTGTCTTCTTTTTTTCTCCTCTAATACACTTTGTTAGTCATATGATTCTACTTGACATCTGTCTAACCCAGTCCCTTCTTCTGTACCCTTAGTATTACTCTTCATATTACCTAGAATTCTTTTCCTACCCTCAGCCCTTATCTCCTTATGAAAATCTTTTCCATTCCTTAAAACCCAAGCCCCAGGCCAGCTTCCCCACTCTCACCTATGAAATCTTGTAGAACTTATTTACAAAGCACTAATGTACACCGTTTTGAATTTTAGCTAACTCTATACAGCTTATCTTACTGTATCCAACCAAACGCCCAGCATGGTGTCAAGGTCTAGCATGTAGAAAATAATCATTAGATAAATGTCGAATTAAGTTGTTGAAAGGTGATTTCAAATATCCCATTTTCAAAGAACAGAGATAACTGCACTGTTAAGAAAGAAAGAAAAAGGAGAGGAGAGAGAAAGAAGAGAAAAGTGAAGATAAATGTGAGAATCTCAGCATGTCATAGAAAGAGTGCTGGACTAAGGAGCAGGAACCTGGTCTCCAGTCCCACTTGGCTGTTAATGAACTAAAAGACCATTAAACTACACTCTAAAGAAGCAAAGCAGTGGGTTATATGAACTCTGAAGTTTACTGCCATGCTGAAATGGTATGACCATCTCCCCATCTAGGCACACTAAGAGCTGATTAAACAAGATAGCATTCAGATTCACCTACCACAGAGCCTAGCATAATATGTATGCTAATAAATACTAGTTCCTCTTTTCTTCACACATAATGGAAACATTCTGTAAAATTCTCAATTTTAAGAAAGGGAAAAGTTTGCCTTTATCCATGGAGGATGGATACCTGCAGGAATCTTTGCTTGATAATATGGCAATAGAGAACTGTACAACTCGTTTAATCACAAATATTGCAGAAATGTTTGTTTTCCCCTCTGGATGTGTACTTTATGGAAGAACTTTTCAGTGGTTGGGTCTCATTAGGCTGAAAGTATTTTCTTATCATTTTTTTCCTCTAGGTCTTGCCATATACCATTTCAGGTAGAAGCTTCCATTCTAGCAAATAAAGGGAAACTGAAAAAGAGCTATGCCAAACCAAATTCTTCATCAACCACATCATGGTCTGAGAAGATGTGAAAATCATTTGACAAAGATTCTAAATGGTAAGTGAGAAAGGAGAAGGGTAACACTTGGAAGCCAATAAAAAATGGGAAAGAATTTAAATAAGGTATGCCAGGAAAATAAACAGATTCCAGGGAATTAAACTAAGTTTCTGTAACCTAGGACAGTTGCAGATGTTCAGATTAATAAGTGTAGTAACAACTCATTTATCAAGGATTTTAGAAAAATGAGGATTTCTGTTTATGGGACTTTTAGAGTTCACTGAAGTTTAGTTCTTTGTATTTCTAAAAAGCTGATTTAACTTCAATATTTGATTATACTGTTTCCCTGACTTATTTAACAGAATTCCATACTACCCACTGCCCTGCAAGTATGTGGTGCTCTTTCACTCCTCTGTGCCTTTGTGGGTGCTGTTCCCTCCTCTTGGAGTCCTCCCTCCTCCCCCATCCTTCAAAACCTATTTTAAATCTCTGTGAAAACATCCCAGACTCCAGTCTGCAAAATAAGTTGCTCCTACTGTTATCCAACAGTCTTGGCTCATAACTCTATTATATTTTCATAATCACTGGGGTCCCAGATGGGTGAATGCCGGGTGCACCCAATTGGGGATCAGCGTGGGAAGTGAGGAGGAAACTGATTAGGACAGCAGTACTCAATTATGTATGAGAGGTTAGAGGCCTTTATTGAACTGCTAATACCATTATCTGTTAAAAAAAAAAAACTTTATGAAATGTTTTCTTCTGATGCTGTTCTGATTATATTCTGAGAGGCTCTTAACAGAAGCCAAATTGTGGGGGTAAAAAACTAGAGGAGGAGGGTGCTGAAATAGGAGGGTGAAGATAAAGTATCCTCAGTCTCAGAAGACTTTGTAAAGAAGCAAGGTCTAAGTTTACCCACTCCCACGTCTTCACTTAGTTATCCTCCCACAGTTCTTCAGATTTCGGCTTCCTCAGGAAAGTGATTCATGCTCTTTCTGATAAGAATAATCATAGCATTTTATGCCTCTCATTTACAGCATTTACCACAGTTGTAAATCTATCTGTATATGTGATTCTTTGATTGATGTCTGTTTCCACCACTAGGCTCTGAGAGTAGGGACTCATATCTGGTTTTGCTCACCATTGTACCTAGGTTCTAGCATAGAGCCTGGCACGTGACGGGAATTCATTACTTGTAGAGTAAATGGATATTATCACACGAAAGGCAATAGGGTAAAAGAAGTTTAAACATAGATTTAAAGGGACTGCTTAAAGTAACTTAGCAGTATTGCTGATGATCAATGACAGAGTCATACAGGGATGAGGACTTAGTGAGAGGGCGTGAGGGTTTTTTTCCTCCTGACACCACATATGTGATCTCTTTTCCAACACCACTTCCCCACTCTCCGACACCAAGTGGGTGTCCAGCAATTCAACTCAACTGACACTGTCTACCTGGAGTTAGCATCAGATCCCAAAAGTTAAAGGGCTCACTCTCACAAGACTGCCCCTGCTTTCAGATGCCACTTGCAAGTCCCGGGCCACCCATGCTTCCAACCCACTGGATATAAACCAAAGACTACCACGACCTCAGGTTTGGTATTCTGTTAAAATGGCTCACAGAACTTAGGAAGGCACTTTACTTACATTTACTGGTTTACTATAAAGTATACAGTGAACAGCCAGATGAAGAGGTACACAGTACGAGGTCCAGAAGGGTCCCAAGTGCAGGAGCTTCTGCCTTCATAGAGTTAGGATGTTCCAACCTCCAAGTACCTCCATGTATTCACCACCCTGGAGGCCCTCTGGACCCCGTCCTTTAGGGGTTTTTATGGAGGTTTCATTACGTAGGCATGATTGATTTAATCATTGGCCATTGGTGATTAAACTCAATCTCCAGCCCCTTTCCCCTCCCCGGAGGTGGAGCTGGAAGAACCAAGCTTCTAATCAAGGCTTGGTCTTCTTGAAGCTATCTAGAGGCTTGCCAAGGGTGGCCTCATTAAAACACGCTCATATCACCCTTATCACTCAGGAAATTCCAAGGGTTTTAGGAACCCTGTGCCAGAAACCAGGGACAAAACCAAGTATCTTTCTATGATACCACAGCATGGGAATGAATTTAAGGGTATATTCAGCTAATAAGTAGTTTGTAATGATGATGCCGACAATGTTGTTAACCAAGGTTTCAAAGGTAGTAATAAGTCATTAGGTTACACCTGCATTTCATTGCAATTTATTTCCCACTAACTTCTTAAATAGGCAAATTAATGACATCAGCATGTCTTCACTCAATAATTATAGCACTCCCCTCCCCACTTCATCTGGCCCCAATACCATCTTACTCTGAGTCATTTATTTGAAATTAGATGTTACAGACACTCATGAGAACGTGCGGCTAAATTAAATATTCTGGCACTGAGATAGCTTTTCTAGGAAGAGAGAGGTGGATGCCTTTTAACAACCTTAGGCCTCACACAAGACTTATGAGCTTAGATCTGAACTTTCTTTACTTCTCCTCTTCTCCAGCACCTAACCTATCAAAAAATACTTTCCAGTACAAACTATAAGTAAGTTGATAATTTAAGGGGATAAGCCAGACCTTGTCTATCTATACACTGCTGCTCAAAACTGTTGCCAACAGAGTAATAGAAAGTAAATCATATACAACCTAAAGATTGAGACATTCAGGGCTGGCCCGGTTGCACAGTGGTTAAGTTTGCAGGCTCTGCTTCGGCCGCCCAGGGTTTGCAGTTTTGGATCCCCAGTGCAGACCTAGCACCACTCGACAAGTCATGCGTGACAGCATCCCACATAAAATAGAGGAAGATTGGCACAGATGATAGTTCAGTGACAATCTTCCTCAAGCAAAAAGAGGAAGATTGACAACAGATATTAGCCCAGGGCTAATCTTCTTCTTCAAAAAAAAAAAAAAAGATTGAGACATTCAGTGATTCATCCTCTCAAGTATTTGTTGAATGCCTTCCATATGCCTGACACTAGGCACATATAGGAGACTCTATGATAAAATGAAAATGGGAGGCCTATAGGATATGAAGTGAACCCAACATATAGCCTGCCCTCAAGAAGGTCTCAGTCTTACAAGAACAAACATTATAGAACAAAATCTATAATTAAATAGGAAGATAAAAAAATCATTCTATTGAAGCATGGGGAAAAAGCAACCAAATCAGACTGGGGGATTAGGAAAGACTTCCTGACAAGCTAAGTTTTGAAGGATGAGCTAAATAAAAAGGGTAAGGTAGGAAGGAGAGGTATTTTTTTTTTTTTATTAAGATTATGATAGTTTATAACCTTGTGAAATTTCAGTTGTACATTATTGTTAGTCATGTTGTAGGTACACCACTTCACCCTTTGTGCCTTCCCCCTACCCCCCCTTTCCCCTAGGGAAGGAGAGGTATTTTAAGCAAGAGGAAACATATATATGAAAGAGTTCACAACTTAATCAGTAAACTATAAGTAATTCACTACAGGTCTTTACCTAAAAACGTTCAATATATGAACCTTCACAAATACAAGGCTCTGTTCTCAAGCAAACTCTATCAGACGGGCCAGAAGGAGTTGGTGGGCAGGTGAGGTCATTTTAGGACTAGGTGAGTCCTAGTCATGTGACTGTTTGGTTTTTCCCTAATGCATTTAAGTATTCCATTGGGTTATTCCTTAATTCATTTCATTAATTCCTTAATTTGCAGGGTGGCAAACTCAAGTACCTACTATGAGTGAAGCTGGTAGGGCAAGGACTGAAGTGAACTGGAGTGAGATGTGAGATGATCCATGTGTCCACCTACCGTGGGGAGCAGCCTGTGGCCTCAGCTGGTTTTACCTCGCCAGAATGTAGCCTCAGTGCTGCCAGGCCTTTCCAGTCTCAAGGCAACCAGAAACCTCCTTCAATTTTGAAATGCTGATAACTAATTCAAAATTTTTAAATGTCATGCAGGCCAAACAAAAAACTTAGGCAGGCTGAGTTCAGTCTGCTGACCACCACTTTGTGACACTTAATCTTTGTATGTTTGATGTGTTTGCTCTTAGTTTTCAATGTTTTACAAAAATTACAAATGTTATTAATCCTTCATGTTCAGTAAGAACAAATGCAGCTACAGTATTAAGGGTGTTGGTAAGAAAAGACATACAATTGGTACAGAAACAAAAATAGACGTATTAAAAAATTGAAATGATAGCTGTATTTACTTATGGGATAAAGTGTTCAGTAGTAATGACAGTCTGAAGAACAAAGATCCAATCATTCAATCATGCATGTGCTCTCAATAATAATGAATGAAAAGAATGAAAGGTGATCATCAGAATGAAACACTTTAACGAGTGTGCAGCTAGAGGAGGGAAATCAGTGTCAGATGCCTAAACAAAGTTGATTCTGGATAAAGACAAGCATTTGTTTAGGAACTTAAAGCCTGACCATGGTAAAAACGCTGCTGCTGGAACTTTTGACAAAGCCACAGTTAAGTCCCATTGTTTAAGGACATTGTAGCTGCCAAGGAGTTTCCTACACTTGCAGCCATCACTGAGGAGGGGAATTATCCATCCCAACATATGTTCAATGTAGTGGAAACTGGTCTATAGGAAAAGATACCTGATAGATTGTATAGAAGGTAGGAGAAAAGAGCATGTCTGATTTGTGATTTTAAAGGCAAACTACTTGTGTTTTTTTAAAGCAATAATTGTGTTTAAAAATTCAAATAGTATAAAAATATATACAGTAGCAAACAAGTCTTCCTTCTACCCTAGACTCCCCAGGTCTCCTGCCTAGAGGTGACCCTATTAAGAGTTTCTTATATTTCCTTTCATACAAATAAGTGCATATTATATGCTATTTCTGTAACTTTTGTCCCACTTAATGTATTTTGGAGATTGTTCTATATTAATTCATGTAGATACACCTTATTCATTTAAAAATCTACATATAAAGATATGCCATAATGTATAAAATCAATACTACATTGATGGATTTATATTGTAGCCTTCTGCTATTATAAATAATGTCTTTCTGATTTGAATCTTCAAAGAATCTATTTGGTGGAACTGTATCCTAGGGCTGCAAGCTTAAACATTTCTTGGTCTTTTAGGTCTTGGAAACAAATAAACCTAAGCAGAGCCATTTGGTAATGAACCTGTTCATAAGTAGAAAAGAATCTGTTTCTGGAAAGAGGGTAAGCATGGCAGAATGACTGGCCAGGAAACTAAATTCAAACTTAGTGATATCATAAAAGGCCTCATGTGATAATGCAAGAAATTTGACCTTATCCTGAAATATGTACAGAACCACTGACTGGTTTTAAGCAGAATGACAATGACATGATTACATTTATGTTTTAGAAAACTTACTGTAACAACAATGAGGAGAGTAGATTAGAGGGGAACCAGAAAAGAGGTAGGGAGACCAGAAGGAGAACTATTCAAGTAATTCAGGAAATAATTTATGAGGATTTTAACTAAGTGATGGCAGTGGGAAGGAAGAGGAGGGGATATGATATTAGAGAACTATTAAGGAGTAGAATCTACTGTACTTTGCACTGATTGGACAGGGGTATGATTGAATGGGCAGAATCTAAGATGACTACTACCTTTCTGGATTGCCCTACTCAGTGGATGGTGGTTTCAGTCATCCAAGACAGAAAGAAGCAAGTATAGGGAGAAAAGTGATTAGTTGAGTTCTGAACATTTGACCTTGACGTTCTGGGGCATGTAGGTGGTTAGGTCCAATAGGCAGTAGAATATATAGGTCTGAAGCTCAACAAGAGTGTTACATAATACCAGCAGACATCAATATACATTTAACAGTTGAAGCTATGAGAATGAAATAGTTCAGCTAAGGGTTACACATTGTTTGATAGAACAAAAGGAAGAGATGGTGGAACCCTAAGAAAAGGAGACATTTATTAGGTAATAGGTAGAGTAAAATGAGCCAAGGAAAGAAGTAAAGAAAAGGCCTTTAATGAACATTCAAGAATTAAATAAAACTGGCAAAACAAAGGATTCAAATGATTTCACCTTATTTGGAACTCACAACAACCCCAAGATATTTAAGGCAGGTATTACTATCAGAGTCCCATTTCATAGGCAACTTAAGTCCATTTAGATGACTAACCCAAGATTTCTCAGCTTTTAATTAGCAGAGCTGGGATTGTAACCCAAGTCTTCCTCAAATCCCACAGGTCTTCAATCCACCATGCTGGCTCCAAATTTCTTGTGATTCATAGATATATAGACTATCGAAACCAGGAAAGCAGAAGTCGGAAAGAGTAATACTAGTACAATATCAACCTCCCTCAATACCCCCTGTTTCCATGCTTTTTACACAGTTGGAAATTAAAGCTCAGAGAAGTTTAAAAAACACTTTGTCTTAAAATTCCAATCCTTACCAAAACTTACCTAAAACTCCAATCTCCTACTTTAGCATTCATAGGCAAAGAAACATTAATTCTTTGTTTGCATAATGATATGTGTGCTCAGAACTTTCATAATAAAGGCATCAGAAACAGAATAGTATCTTTTCTGTACTGTAATCATTAGAGAGAAAACTATAGGACTTCTTAAGGCCTTGCTCCACCTCATACAATGTTCTTTATTTTATGCAAATGTACTGGCTGTGGGAGATACTCTATGTAGTTATCACAAGTAGATCATGAATGAGTGTTAGAGATAAGTAAACCATCTTCTTATAAAACAAAACATTATTATTATGGGCCTGCAAAAGCTTAGAAATATTTTCACTAGAATCCATCTCAGGATAGTGAAACCTGTTTTACTGGAATTTGACCTGAAAAAAATAGAACTTGGTCATAAAGTTTCAACACAACTCTTACCGAAAGAGTACATTTCTCCTGCTAACATGGACAGTAATTTTTTAAAAAAATTTGATATATATAATATAAAACCAAGTTATATAAAAATGTGTTGTAGGTGGATAGATTCCAAATGCAGGTTTGAACATGATTATTTCAAGGTCTTTTTACTTATGTGGATTAGTGAGCCTGTGGACGAGGTATCTGCCCAGAAATTCCAACCTCTAAAAGTGGTTTCAATTGGTCTAATTCTGTTCTTATATAGGTAAAGTCTTTTAATCCTTGTGATAAAACTCCAGGAGCTTGCTTCCTTTAAATCCTAATATAAGTTAGGGTAGTAAGCAGAGAGAATATTGATTTCATTCATTCAGGAAACATTTGAGTGTGAAGACACTGTGACTATCAAGATGAATCAGAAATGGATTCTTTCCACAAATAATTTAGCCTGGGGCAGGGCTGTGGCGCAGCTAATTAGGTGGGTTAAGGCTGACATCTCTGTTAAGAACTTGAAGTACAGGTGTTTTGTGTTGTTGATCCATGTTGAGCTTTGGGGTATAGATCAATAAACAGGTGGCATGTGGCAAAGGTGGCATTCTGGTATGAAAGTTGAAAAGCTTGGTTGGTATTTTCTCATTGTTGCCTGGAGCCGCTGCTCCTCCTGCTCCCAGTGGAAGGCTCTTTCACTGCAATTCTGGCAACCCTTTCAGAATCTGGCCCCTAAGGGATTACAAATCTTTTAGTAATCAGATGGTAACCCAACTCCACTGAGAGGATCAACTGGTACAACGTTGCAGGAGCGAAACGTAACTTTGAAGAGTAATTTAGCTTCCCTCCCCATTCCCTCTCCTAAGAAAACAAAACAATCAGACCAGATATAAACATGTATGTGCATACATATAAAAAGATCAGAAACAATTTAAGGCTGAACAACTTGGGTGTGGTTAAGTAAATTATGGATCTCCTTATGATGTAATACTAGGCAGCCATTAAAATCATATTTTAGGAAAATGAAAATATTTACCATATGCCGTTCTAAAAATTGCTTACAAAATTTTAACATGGTATTAATGATATTTTCCAAATATGTGTATATTCGTGTTTGTGTGAGCACAGAAAAAGACTAGAATGATAGAAGACTCAAATATTAATAGTGGTCATCTCTGGGTGGTAGGATTATAGGAGAGTTTTCTTCTTTGTGGTTTTCTTTTATTTTCCAAATTATCCAAAATGTAGTGTGTTACTTTTGTTATTTGAAACAAATATATTTTTAAAAGGAAGGACCAAAAAGTGGTCTAGCTCTTCTCATTTTACAGTTCCTTTTGACAAAGAAGTTTCACCAAATTCCCCAAGGGCTGGAACGGAAGGCTATTTTAGTGATGCCAACTGTGCCAACTCAAAACATTACTCACAGAACTTGTATCTAGCGGCAAAGAAAAGAGTCGCTTCTCATCCGGTCTAGGGCACATTCACCAGGAGCTGCAGGGACTCTGCCTACATCTTTTTTTTCGTTTAAGGATTTTTAATTATGGTATCCTGGGGCCTCATAAGCAATGCCAAAGTCTTTGCCGTCTCTTCCAGTATACTAGGTGGCCATGTGCAAATAAGATTATTAATGGCCTTCAGTAGTATCCCAGAGTTTTTGAGAGAGGCCAGCAAAATAGGTCCTGTTTGGAGACAGGATAGCATATTAGTTAGGAATGCAGACTTTCTAGTCAAACAAACCTTAGTCAGAATTGCACCACTGAAATTTACTAATTGCGTGAGCTTGGGTACATTACTTAATTTCTGTGTCTCAATTTCCTCATCTGTCAGTTAGATGATGATAATATCTACCTTATAATGTTTCTATGATAGCTCAAAATGATAATGCATGTTAAGTACTTAGCACAATGTCTGGCACATTGTAAATAATCAATAAATGCAAGCTATTATATTACTATGATAAATACAATAAAGAGATAAAAATAAGTGTTATGGGAAATCTAGAAAAGGCACAATTACTCCTGGTTGAGAAGATTACAAAAGGCTTTGTAGAAGGAGAAAATTTAGATATTCTAAGATGAGGGTTAAAGGCATTTCAAGTGATGGCAACATCAGAGCATAGAGGTGAGGAAGCTATAAAACATAGACGTTGAACAGTTTTTGCGAAGCATCCCATACAAGAAGAATTCTTTAGGAAACAAGAATGCCAGGCAAAGAAGTTTAGACTTAGCTTATGGATAATAAGAAAATGTTTCATCTATTTGTTATAATTTTCATTCCCAAATAATTTTTGTAATACCACACAGAAATCTTTTTTTTCAATTCACCTGAGCATGTGTAGCAATACCCCATCTGCCCATCTCATGACCCTCCACATTCTCTAGTTAAAACCAAGTTTTAGCCATTGGTAAGTCAAAGAATCTCCTGGCCAAAGCACAGCGTGGTCTCTTGGAGCAGGGGAAGAAACTAGAAATAACAGAGCAAAGAAAGAATGACCTTTTCTTTTTATAGCTGTATAGACACTTTAAGACATCAGGGGATATGAAAGGAAGCAAAGTTATGCTTGGTCCTGGTAAGTAGGATCATGAAACATAAAAAACATGCAGAAAAGAAAAAAGTTCAGACAAATAATACTTGATTTCAAGATTTACTATAAAGCTAGAGTAATCAACACAATGTTGTATTGGTGAAAGGATAGACATATAGATTGATGAAAAAGAATAGAAAGCCCAGAAGTAGAACCGCACTTATGTGGTCAGTTGGTTTTTGACAAAGGTGCCAAGGCATTCAATGGGAAAGAGAAAGTCTTTACAACAAATGGTGTCAGAACCATTGGATATACAAATGGAAAAAAATTAAACCTCAATCTTTATCTCACAGAATACATAAAGATTAATTCAAAATGTCATGTAGATCTAAATAGTAAAAGCTAAAACTGTAAAACTTTTAGAACAAAAATCTTTGTGAACTTGGAGTAGAATTTCTCAGACAGAACAGAAACAAGAAGAAATCATTTAAAAATTGGTAATTTGAACTTCATCAAAATTCAAAACGCTTGCTATTTAAGTGACATCATTAAGAAAGTGAAAAGACAGTCGTAGACTAGAGAAAAAATTTTATGTACATCAGCCAAAGGACTCATATCCAGCACATATAAACAACTTTTACAACTCAATAAAAGAAAGGCAAACAATCCAAAAGAAAAGAAAAAAGGACTGAAAACTTGGACAGATACTTCACTAAAGAAGATATATGGATAATCAATAAGTATTCAACATCATTAGTCATCAGTGAAATGCACATTATCAGTGAAATGCACATTAAAACCATAATAAGATACTACTACATATCTTAATGGCTAAAATTGGCTAAAATGGCTAAAATTAAGAAGACTAACAATACAAGTTCTGGGAAGGATGTAGAGCAAACCAAACTCTCATATATTGCTGGTGGTAATAAAAATATGGTACGACCACTTTGAAAATGGTTGATAGTTTCTTATAAACTTACACTTGCCAAATAATCCAGAATTCCACTCCTAGGCATTTGCCCAAGAGAAATTAAAACATTTGTCCACACAAAGACTTGTCCATGAATGTTCATAGAAGCTTTATTCATAATAGCCCCAAACTGTAAACAACCCAATTTTCCTTCAGCAGGTAAATGGATAAACAAATTGTTATATATCCATACAATGAAATACTTACTCAGCAATAAAAAGGAACAAACTACATATGCATACAACAACAAGGATCAATCTCAAGAAGTATGTACGACCAAAGAGTACATACTGTGTGATTCCATTTATATAAAATTCCAGAAAACACAAACTAATCTATAGTGACAGGAAGCAAATCAGTTGTTGCCTGGGGTAGAGGTGGAGAAGGACGATGACTACAAAGGGACACTGGGGAACTTTTGGGATGATGGAAATGTTCTGTATCTTCATGGCAGGGGTTACAATGGTGTCAAAACTCACTGAACTGTATACTTTAAATGAGGGCAGTTCATTGTATATGAATTATACCTCAATAAAGTGTGAGAGGTACCATACACGCCAGGTGGAATGCTAAGGACTATGGAAACACAGATGAGAAAACATTACTGCTCCCTAGCCTTCACAATTGAAAGTGACATGTGCATAGTTTTCAGTAAAGGTAGAAGTTTGTTTTCTTTATGCTGCCCCCTTCTAAGTGACCTAGCCAACAAATATTTATTGAGCTCCTATTATGTGCCAGGCATTCGGCTTAATGTTAGGAGTGCAAAGACAGGCAAACAACCTTCACAAAATCTCTGACCTCATAGAGGCTACAGTCTAGTGGGGGAGATGGCAAGGCCAACTACAATGTACGATGATGACTTCTGTGATGGGGAGAACACAGGACATCGATGAAGTGCTTTTGTGTGGTTGGGGACAACTTCCTGGAGCAAGTAACATCTAAGCTCGTGTCTAAAGAGTGAGTTTCAGTTAACCAAAACAAAGCTAATTATCACTCCAAAATGCTCCCTTTCAGTATGGACAGTGACATCCAATATGTTCATGTATACTGTTTTGGATTAATACTTCCCCAACTAATCAATTTTTCAAAATAAGGGGTAATTTATCCACACTTTTAGTTTCATACCAAAAAGGCATTATGTGTGTTACCAAAGCCCTGGTAGTTTTATGACTGAAATCCTTACCCAACTTTGTACAATATAGCTTGTTATACTATCCAGAGTGTATATTTTAAACTTTATTTTAGGTAGTAATTATAGATTCACACATTATTTCCTGCAAAATAATCTAATGCAATTAATTACACTGCCAAATCAGGAAAAAAAAAAAGAGAAAAAGTAATAATCTACATGTAAGATATGGTAAAAGTAACCTTATTAAATCTATTTCCTCCTCTAAATGAAGAGTGTTACCCCCACCCCAGGGTGTTTGGAAATCTGCAGGATGGTTTGGTGGTTGTCACAATGATTGGGCAGCTATTTGCATTCAGGGTTTAGGGCCAGGGATGCTAAATGCCCTGCAATGCTCAGGACGATGCCCCACATACAAAAATTACTCTGCCCCCAATGCTAATAGCATTCCCATTGATAAATATCATTAGAAGGTCTCCAATGGTCTTTCCTGCTCTAAAAGTTTGATAGTGAATTCTATTCATTCATTCGAACTGGCATGGCTTTAGTATTCTAAATCTCAAATTCAACAGGCAGAAAACATCAGCCAATTAGGCATCTGTGATGATTAATTTTGTGTCAATTTGGCTTGGCCACAGTACCCAAGTATATGGTCAAACATTATTTTGGATGTTTATGTGAGGGTGTTTCAGATGAGATTAGCATTTAAATCAGCGGATTTTGAGTTAAGCAGATCGCCCTTCATAATGTGGGTGGCCCTCATCCAATCAGTTGAAGGTCTGAAAAGAACATAAGATTGACCTCCCCTAAGTGAGAGAGAATTCTGTCAACAGATGGCCTTTGAACTTGAACTGCAGATTTTGAACTTTCCAGCCTCCATAATTGAGTTAACCAATTCCTTTAAATTAAATCTCTCTCTCTATACACATCCAATTGGTTCTGTTTCTCTGAAAAACCCTGACTCATATAGCATCCTTATTCTTGAGCATAAGGTTTAGAAAATGTGGGATGGAGAAATGAAGTTAATGCAAATTATCACATTTACCCTGGATATGGACAGCCAGTATCTCACTAAGTGCACACCTCAAATCTTAAACATTTCAAGTATTTGAGTTTTAGAATGCCCTTGAGCATTTTGCTGAGCATGTTTTCCTCTTCACTTTTAAACTCTTGTGCACCTTGGGAAGCGTAATCAATATGTTTCTGATTCATTTACACTTAACTTATCAAAATCTCTTTTCACAGCTGTCTCTCTGAGCCTTCTGAAGGCTTGAACTAGCTCTGTCGAGTCTCTGAGCCAAGTCCAAGAACCAGAAGTCACTTTTTGCACTCTCAAAGAAATAAAATAATGTAAGAACCCAAGTTGGAGTAAATTCAAAATGTATAATTTCTAATTTAGTTCTCTATTCCCTTTTTTAAAGTACATTTATTTTTACTTATCACATCTTCATTTGGAAAAAACTGCCTTGTACCTTTAACCTGTTCAAGGTTCTCTCTCAGACATACCTTTAAATATATACATATCTTCAAACCAAAAGCCTCAAGTAATTTTTTTTTATTAAGGTTATAAAAGTTAACATCCTTGTGAAATTACAGTTGTACATTATTATTAGTCATGTTGTAGGTACACCACTTCACCCCTAGTGCCCTCCCCCCACCCGCCTTTCCCCTGGCAACCACCGATCAGTTCTCTTTGTCCATACGTTAACTACCACCTATGAGTGGAGTCATGCCAAGTTCGGCTTTCTCTGTCTGGCTTATTTCACTCAACATAATACTCTCAAGGTCTATCCATGTTGTTGTGAATGGGACAACTTTGTCCTTTTTTATGGCTGAGTAGTATTCCATTGTATAAATATACCACAACTTCTTTATCCAATCATCAGTTGCTGGGCACTTAGGTTGGTTCCATGACTTGGCTATTGTGAATAATGCTGCAATGAACATAGGGGTGCATAGAGCTTCTGAAATTGCTGATTTCAGGTTCTTAGGATATATACCCAGTAGTGGGATGGCTGGGTCATAAGGTATTTCTATTCTTAACTTTTTGAGGAATCTCCATACTGTTTTCCATAGTGGCTGCACCAGTTTGCATTCCCATCAACAGTGTATGAGGGTTCCCTTTTCTCCACAGCCTCTCCAACATTTGTCACTCTTGCCGCAAGTAATTTTTGTATAAAACATATTTGCACTAAGTATATTTCTTTTCTTGCCTTGGCTATACGTACTGACCGGTGGATTAGTGTCAGGTTCAGTGAATCCAATGTAACCTGTTTTCGGGGTTGTTTTTTGTTTTTTGTTTCCTTTTAAGTGCCTCATGTTGTTTTGCAAAGTCCATGTAATTTAATCTATGTAATTACCGTTTCAGCACAAAAACTTCCCTGATGTTGCCTTATGCCAACAAAAACAGCACTATCCGATCCAACAGACGAATACTCCCGAGACATCATACAATAACAAACCAATATGAACACGGGAAAGAGGAAAGCCAAATATTGACAAAGAAATTAGAAATGCAGTTTTGCACTTTTAAGGGGCTAACCTCTTATTTCTAAGTTAAACATCAGATCTCAGGACTGTTTGAGCACTGACTTTAACTTATAGATAGCAGTGAATTTCTTAAGGCTAATTAACAATCTTTCAGACAATTTAAAGATTACATATGTTAAAAAAACAAAAACCCTCCTGTTTCTCTGCCTTTGATAACTAAAGATTTATTTCAGAATTGCACATTTATCTATAATATTCCAGACTCTAAGATAATGACAGTTAATTAACTGGGCAATAATTGTAGTCTATTTTTCAGAAAATTAAGCACGCAATATGAAAAAAGCATCAGACAAAACTTGGCCTTTGAACAGCAATGTACTTAATGCTTAAAAACAAAATTAGATACAGAGGTGTTCTTTTCAGGGAATGAATGAGAATTGGGCTACTTAAATTCATTTATCTGATTGCTTTTTAAATTAAAATAAGCTTTTTTCTCAACCTCAGAGTAATACATGCTTAGTCCCCAAAATACAGAGAAGCAGAAAGAAAGAAATAAAGGATATATTCAGGGCCACCCAGCAGGAGACAGACATGTTGACAACTTAGTCGGGAGCCGTAATGGTGCAGAGATGAAGAACTCAGCTCCCAGAGTTAGGCTGTGTGCATTCAACTCCAGCTCCACTACTTACCACCTTTGTGACTGGGAGCTAGTAATTTAATTTCTCTGTCTCATCTTCCTTATCTGTAAAATAGAAGTGTAAGGATATTGTGAAGATTAAATGAGATAAATTGTGCAATGTGCCTGGCATATAGCAAGCCTTCAGTGAACGTTAACTTTTAGTTTGACTTTCTAGATTCATTTTGTCTTAGTGTTTTCAAATAGGGACATTGTGGGTCTGATTTATGTTTGAAAAGGGCACTTACGGTCTCAGAAGCTAGTCACTTATAATCAAAATATATTTCTCTTCATACTTTTTTTATTGTAAGGGGGAAAATTGGAGATAAAATCTTATTATTTTTAAAATCAAGGCTGTTGATTTTAGAGCAAGAGCAAACTGTTATTTCAAAAATCAAAAGAAATGTATCCCTCAACAATTTTCCATGCAATAATAAATGTTTCAAGCTCTTCCACACATATTGTCTCATTTAAAGCTCATACAAAACTCTTTTAAAAACATGAGACACTAGAATTATTTCCATTTTTTGAGCTAACCCTTCCCTTAGATTAATGATAGACTATTGTCATTTGCATTTGCCCTTGCATTTGTCATTAGATTTGGGGAGAAGTAAAATTATATATCTATCTGCTCAACACTAAAAATTCCGTCTGCTTCTCCTCCTATTTTCCCTATCTTATTTAGAGATACCACCATCCAGGAAGTCAGCCAAACTATAAACCTGAGATATCCTATGCCTCTCTCTCTTCACCCCTCACATTCCATGAATTACTAAGTCCTGCTGATTACATTTGTTAAATATCTCTGGAAACAACTGCTTACTTTCCATCTTCATTGGCATTCCCTTAGCTCAGGTCTGCAGTGTTGCAGCAGCCTCCAGTCTCACCCTCTGATGTCTGCCAAAGGGAAAATTCTTCTTTGGCCACCCATTACTTCAGACCAACGGCATAAGGCTTTCCATGAACTGGCCCCTCTCAAATTAACAAGACATCTATCTATAAACAGTATGCTGTGGAATGTACCTCTCAAATGACTAAAATACAAATGTCCACTCTTTAGGGTACTCCCTTCCTATTATCAAGGAAACCAGAGAGTTGAACTAGCAATCATAAGATAGTACTTGGAAAGCAGTCACTGCAAAATCTCAAGGGAGATTTCATTCAAGCTATAATTGATCCCAATAAACTTTCCTTTATCCACGATAGAGGTGTACTTTCCAGTGTTTGGAATACATCATTTGCATCCACTGGATTGTTTTTGCCTCTCAGGCTCTATTAGGGAAACACTGACAAAAATTTATTTCCCAAGCTAATTCCCACCTCTTCATGAAGGCTGTCGTGTTTCTACCTAGTTAACATTACTTACTGCCCTACCCATCCTATCATAGGACTGTATTTTGTGTTGAATATTTCTACTACAGGACTCAGTATTCTTAGCACTAAAATTATTTATGAAGGTGCTTTCTTCTAGAAAGTTGCAAGTTATTAGTGATTAAAAGGACTATCACCTGGGTCAACCAGATCTGGGTTTGAATTCTGATTCTCCCACTTACTCATTGAGTGGCCTTTGTCTAGTCCTTTAACCTCTCTGAGCTACAGATCCTTCATCCACAAAACATAGATAATATGGTACTAGCTTCATAGAGTTATTGAGAGGATTCAATGACAAGCTGCATGGAAAGCACTTTGCACAGCACTGGATACATGAAAAACCCTCAATAAAGTAGATCTTACTGATCATCTCTGCATTCAGTGTGGCAGTGAGGAATCCTGTGTCTAGGATGGGATCCATTATACAGCCTTGCTTTTATTTTTTGTGGTTTATCTACTTTGGAAAGCAAAAACACTTTCTCTTTTAAAATATCTTGTCCATTATTTAGTAAACAGACTTTCTTAGATCACTAGAAATACTCATTTGGTTTACCTCTGTCTTCCCTTACCAGATTATAAATTACTAGAGGAGAGGCATGATGTTTTAGTTATTTTTGAATCCCAAGCACCTAGAAAGTGCCTGGCACATAGCAGGTACCTAAAAAAATTTTATTGAATGAAAACATAATTTCTAATACTGTATATAAGACATTTCTGATGTTATCATCTAGACCAGTGGTTCTCAAAGTCTCTTGAATCAGCAGCATGGGCATCACCTTGAGTTTGTTAGAAATGCACATGGAAGGGCTGACCCAAACCTAGTATATCAGAGTCTCTGGGGATGGGGCCTAGCGAACTGTGATTTAACAAGCTATCCAGATGATTCTTATGCCTGTTACAGTTTGAGAACCACTGATCTATACAGTATTTTTCTTTAAAAGTTAAAACCATTTTATAAATCTCAAAAACATTATGCTGAGCAAAAGAAGCCAGAGACAAAAGCACACATACTGAATTATTCCATTTACTTGAAGTTCTAGAATAGGCAAAACTAAGATAAGGAGAAAGAGACCAGAAGAGACTGGGGCAGTCGGGAGAGAGGTTTGAATGGAAAGAAGCATGACGGAAATTTCTGAAGTGCTAGAAAGTTCTAACTATATCTTGATGGGATGTGGATTACACGGGTGTGTCCCTATGTCAAAACTCATCACACTGTATACTTAAGACCTGTGCATTTCACTGTATTTAAATGAAACATCAATGAAAAATTAAAATAAGATAAGGTAATGCCATTCTAATTCCTACCGTCTAAGTATTATCAGCAGGAGATGTATTTTTACACAGCAATCTTAAGATGTCTACAAGGTCCTGCATCATCTGACCCCTTACCTCTTTTCTAGCCTTACCCATTACCACTGCTCCATCACTTTTTCAGTCCTTCACCAGCACTGACCCTTCAGTTTCCCAATGGCATATATTCCTCTCCAGGGCCTTTGCATGTGCTATCACCACTCCTTAGAATGTTTCTTTCTTTCCTTTCACCTGTTTAACTCCCATTCTTCTTTCAGTTCTCATTCTTCTATCTGTTCCTCAGGGAAACCCTCCCAAATCTCGATTTATCATGTGTGTCCGTGGAACCTTTTGTAGGACTGCTGTTTCTACTTGTGCAGGTTGTTCAGCTAAACAACGGTTCCTAGCTGAGGTGTTAGTGGCTGAAACCCAGTTTGTAATCCACTCACAAAGCCTTGCACATGGAGCAAGACTGTGTCAACCTGGAAGAGGGGCTGCCTTTTTGTAATTCATCAAAGGCATAGTCTACTTGCCAAGCTGTGCCTACTTGGGTTATTTCTGTCTATGGGGGTGTATTTTCAAAAATAGCACAAAGATACCATGTGGGCTAACAGCAGCCCTGGCCTTGTACTTCCCTTTCATAGTGCTTACCACAGTTGCAATTTTACATTTTTGTTTGTGTGATTATTTGGTTACCGTTTGTTTCCCACACTAGACAGTGACTCTACAATAGTACGAAACTGTCTGGTTTTGCTTATTATTGAGTATTCTCAGCACCTAGAACGGTGCCGGGCACACAGTGTGTATTCAGTAAATATTTATTAAATGCCTGAGATATTTTTTAATGCTGGAAGAATATTCAGCTTTCTGAAGGTAGAGACTGTGTCTTATTTTCCCTTTTTATCTCCCCCCTAATTACCATACTGTTTTGCACATAAATGGCATTCAGCAAATTTCTCCTGATTGATTTAAAAATGTTCAAAGAAGCCATATGATGTTCTGTTCATAGAAAACTGGATCTGCAAGCATATGATTACACACTGCATGAGTGATGACGAACAGCTGCTATTTATGAAGCAGAAGAGACAAAAAAGTGTTGAATGAATGAGAAATAACTTCAACTGAAATGGGAAGGATTTAATTTAGCTTTTGAAACTCATTTCCTGATATGAAGCTTACAAGATACAGGAAGACAATACCGAGGGAGGCTGTGAATTTTCTTTTCCTTTATAAATAAATGATCTTTGAAAGTTTTCCAAGCTAGATCAACCACTTATTTAAAGGCTAAGGGGTATTTCTGAATAGAGTTCTCAACAGTCTGAGATAGATTTCTTTAAAAATAAGGTTTTTTGAGCAGGATAATTTTACAGAAAATTTGCAAAGACAGTATAGAGAGCTCCTGTATACCTTTCACCCGGTTTCTCTCATTGTTAACATCTTACATGGTACATATGTCAAAAGAAATTGAAATACATACATATCTATTAACTACGCTACAGACTTTATTTGGATTTCCCCAGTTTCTCCAGTTATGTCCTCTTTCTGTCTCAAGTGAGACAGTGTTTTGATGTTCTTCCCTAGTGTGTAAAAGATTGTGTGATCTAAAGATCAACCTCTGTGAGTAGAATTACATAAATCTCGAGCTGCCTGGGTCCTTCATCTTGAGGCAAAAGTACTTTGTCTTTCCAATCAGTCAGACTTGAATGTGATCCCCAGCTCTGCCACTTTGAAGAGGTGTGTGTCTTTGGGTAAATTGTTTAATTACACTAAGCCATAGTTTCCACATTTGTAAAATGTGGTGGTAAGACCTCTCCAGCTGTGATGGCTCCTGGAATCCTTCACAGTAGAATTCAGTGTTGAAAAACTTACGATTTTAATAGGTTATTAGTCTTTTGTATTTATTAATACCATAAAGATAGCACTCTAAACAGAATACCTATGATATTTTACATATGTTAAATTAGAAGAGGGCTCAGAGGAACCTGACTAAAGACTCTCCTTGACAAAACTTCAGTCAGTCTCCTCTGAGCCGTCTTCTCAACCAGTCCTTGTCCTTGGGCTCTGTCTTCAGCTTGCTTAGTCCAGTTGCAGCAAGAATTCATCTAAGTCAGTTTAGAGAGAGTCTCCCACGTTTGATATCTGATCACCCTGGCAAGTTGGTTCAGGAAGAATCCCCCTACCCTTGATGTCCCCCCTAGTAAGTTTCCATCCACTTTCCTTTCCCTCTGTCCTCCTAGGTTTGACAGCTTGGTCTATGAAATCAACTGACAATAGGCAGGTTAACAGGATAAAAGGTATATAAATTTATTAATTTTTAATATTATGTGCATAGGGGCATCACAGGTGGAAAAAAAGTGAATACCCCCCTCAAAAAAGCAATGAGATTTGAGAGTTTATACCTTCTCAATAGGGGAAGGGGAGAGAGAAATGCTTTTTTTGAAAGATGGGCATTGTGACAAAGTTTACTTGGGTGTGGTGTCGACTTCTAGTCTCCTCTTCCATGATAAGAGTCAATCTCCTCTGGTTGATGAAACTCCTAGGGAGGGGATTTATGACAGTTGAGCTCCTTTTGGAGGATCTGTCCTTAGGCAGATAAGGAGAGTTCAGAGAAAGCCTGTTTTTCTTTTTTCTTTCTTTTGTTTTTTGAGGAAGATCAGCCCTGAGCTAACATCTGCTGCCAATCCTCCTCTTTTTGCTGAGGAAGACTGGCCCTGAGCTAACATCCGTGCCCATCCTCCTCTACTTTATATGTGGGACGCCTACCACAGCATGGTGTGCCAAACCGTGCCATGTCCACACCCGGGATCCGGCGAACCCCGGGCCGCTGAAGCAGAATGTGAGCACTTAACCGCTGCACCACCGGGTCGGCCCCAAAAAGCCTGTTTTTCAAGTGCCTTCAGCTCAGAATAATCAACATACCAAAGTTGCGTATTATGGATAGCATGTCCTGACCTCCTTCATCCCCTACTCTGCTCCTGATTATAAGTCCCCAACTGTCCTTGCTGTATTTAGAGTTAAGCCCTCTCTCTCCTATTGTGATAGTCTTGACACTTATTACAATAGCTCTGAATAAAGTTCCTTACTGTTTTAACAAGGGTCAGAATAATTTTTTAACATTAGTAATAATGAATATTAACTAATTTCCATTTTATTATCTGTGACGCATCCAAAAAATTTTAAAAATATCCCTCCAAGTTTTAATAAAACTCTTTAAAAATATTTTTGCTTTGTTATGAATAACATGCAAGCTGAAAGGCATCTTCCTCCCCTATCTGTCTTTTATCCAAATGTTCAGCACTTTTTAAATTTTATGACTAGAAGTTGACTCCTACTTCCCAGGTCCCACTGATGCCAGATGCACAGAGTAATTTGGATTGGAAATGCTTTAGTTGATTACTCTTTATTTGTAGGGCTATATTTCATGAATATCTTCTCAACAGAAAAGGGGAGTATGTTTGTCTGTGCCCATGAAAATGTCATACCAAAGCACACCTTATTTTCTCAGTGGCTGACTCCATACCAGTCTCATGTCTCTCTCTCCCCCACTGAGGAGCGCTTAGCAGTGTCTGGGACATTACAAGAGTTCAACAAATAACTGCAATTATTATCATTAAGACCTGAACTTTAATTTTTTTCAGGTTCCTTCTTTCTTTCTTGCAAAAACTTCTTATTCTGCCCTGCCTTTGTTTTACCTTCCTTTTCTCAATTTCAACTGAGTTCTCTCCTTATCTGCAAAAGGAAGAGTGATTTGCAATCTGAAGATAATGAAAGAGACAATGATATTCTTCCTGTTAAGGCATCATGCAGAAATAATTCAAGTACGCTAGAACTTTATGGATGGGGCACTCTATACTGGTTATCCCTTGGAGATGTAATAAAGTTTAATAGGAAAAATATATAATATCAAGTAGGTGCTCGAGAAATGTTAGGTCCCTTCCTATCTCCTCGTTTTTTACAGACAAGGACAATGAGGCCCAGGAAGATAAGTAGTAACAAGTAAGTGCTAAAAGAAAAAAAAAAAAAAAAAAGAGGGACAGCATAGGGTACCGGCTTTTACTTCTTGCCATCATTCTCCTTTTCCTGCTGCTCATTCGGTTCTATGACTTAATGACCCATCTAGTAAATCGAGGAGGGTAACCAATGTATTTGGCACCTGTCAAGCGCCCAGATATGGTAACACTTAAGAGACAAACATTTTGGCGAAGTATAATAGTTTGTTGCCGTCTCCTAAAATGTTATTGTATCTGGTGTGCCAAAAAATATCGTCCGTCGTTTAACCCTAACAGTCTCATGCATAATTGGAGGTGACCATTGACTTTTAGGCCTTTCCGTTGTTCAGGGCCTTGATAGTCCTTTAACAGTTAAAAAGAGCACTTCGGGCTGTAAGTCTAGAAGCATACTATAATTTTACGATATCCCTACCTAAACCTTACCCAATATTGGCACCAACTGAGTGAGGATAATAATTCATCGCAATAAATATTCATCGGAATAAATATTCGTCAAGAATTCAGGACCTGTGCAGAGACCATGATTTGGTAGCGCTTTGAAATCAGTCACGGGCTACGGAAACCCGGTGGAAGACCACTACCTGGTTCAGCAAACAGCATTTCGAAGAGGAGGGGCTTGGAGGAGGCGGGTCCCGGACAACCCAGCGCGAGAATACGCCCCGGCGCATGCGCACCTCTTGGTGCGTAACTTCCATTTGCTAGATGGGGGAGACAAGTGAGAAGCAGTCTACAGTTTTTGAATTCCTATTGTCAACTAAAAATTAGATTGTGAACAGTTCGATGGATAATGTGAGATCGTTATCCTGCGAGTTCAAGATTAACGAAACTTGGCATACACCGCTCAAGTAAGAGGTGACTTCTCGTAGCTTCCCCCGTACCCTGGGACTTTGGTGGTCTAGTCCATTCCACAGACTTTCGAGTCCTTGCAGCGGGTCGGGGATCGAAGGATTGGGCCAATTGCGGCAGAAACGTCTTTTGGAGGAGGAAGGGAGTGAGGGGGCATCCCTTTGAGTTCCGCCTCTCCTTTTTCGAGACGGTAGTGGGGAAGGGGGGACGTACGAAATACTGCCCTCGAAAGGCAACAGATAACACCTCTCCAGGCAAACTGCCGGGAGGTCGGCGGGAAAGGGGCAAGACGGGAGTAGGGAAAGGAAAGGAGCCAGGAAGCCGCGCAGGAGGGCGCGCGCGCGCGCGCCCCTTTTTCAGCAGTGTGGCGGGGTCGCACGCACGCCCGCCTCGGCGGCTGGGCGCAGTTTGCGACAGTGGGGGGAGCGGTGGAGGTGGCGGCGGCAGTGGCAACTTTGCGGCAAGCTCCGGCCGGGCTTGCTTGACGGCGGTGTGGCGGAGGCCCCGCCCTAGGCGGCAGGAACCTGGAGGGAGGCGGAGGAATATGTCCGAGAGGGAAGTGTCGACAGCGCCGGCGGGAACAGACATGCCTGCGGCCAAGAAGCAGAAACTGAGCAGCGACGAGAACAGCAACCCGGACCTCTCTGGAGACGAGAATGTGAGTGCAGCCCTGAGCAGTCCGGACGGGACTCTGGAGTGAAAGTTTTAAATTCTTTTTAAACTGTAGGCTCGGGGGCGGGCGGGCGGCTGTGGGGGGAGGGAGAGGTGTCACCCTCTACTCAGGAAAGCGCGGGCGTGCAGGGGAAAATCGAACTTGTCTCTGTGGGGATTTTGAGCTGGGGCTGAGAGCAAGCGGAAACTTGGCGAAGGAGAGTAGGTTAAGAGAGAGTGTGTGGGTGGAGGGTCTGGGGGCTTCTGCTGTAAGACCCTTTTCGTAGTTGGGGAGTGTTTGGGCCTTTGGGAGATTTGAGGAGAGTGCGGATCTGAGATTCCAGTAGTTTAAAGGTTCTTCTGAGGAAGTTGGAAGGAGGGACCAGAGTGTGTTAGGGACTCTTTTAAAGGAATTTAGGGACTGTGTCACTCTTAGATCCTTATAGACTGATTAGGATGGGAAGAGTAGATACTCGACTTAGGGGATTGGAGTGACTCTTTTAAAGGGGTTTTTATGTCTGCTCTTGTCCTGTCCGTGTACATGGGGTGTGCCTGACAGTCAGTCGGCTTTTCTGCGGGAGGAGGAGCATTAAGAGGGTCGTCTTCTGACTTGGAGGGGGAAACCACCCTTGAGGAAGGAATGAGAAGGGACGGTTACTTCTTTAAAAGTTTTTAATAAGATAAAGGGGACGACCTGGAAGATTTAGGCGACAGTGCTAAAAGCAGATGTCTTTAGATATGGGCTCCAGGCCTCGCAAGTGTAAGGTGTTTTGGAATCGGATATTTTTTAAAAGCTCTGAAATGGATCTCGGTAATCATCCAGTCCCAACAGTTAACCCAGCTGTGTCTGGAGAGTCGCCAGTAATAACCGAATTGACATTAATTTTCAGTTTCATGGTTTTAACTTATATTCAATAAGGTTAGCAAAATGTCTTGACAGTTCATTCAAAGATAATACTCCAAAATGTGAACCACCTTCTTATAATATATGGTAATAGCACCTGGATATCTTTTTAAAGTCTTTAAAGTGTTGTAAGAGGATGGTGTAAAGTTTTCATTTTCTCAATTTGACTAGTTTTAGAAATAAATATTACATCTTACACGCTCAGTTCCTGTATTCCGCATCACTGCATCAGTGACTGAAGCATATATGTGGCCTGGTGTCACGACCGAAATTTTCACTGAAGAGATGGGAAAGAATTCTTTTTGCAGATAGAGGAAATATATTTTGGGAAGTCAGTTTGTGGGATTTGGACTTGACATTTCTGGAAAGCTTCTGTTGAGTGTTACTATAAATCTTTCTTTTCCTATTTGTGCTTCCCAAACTTGTTTGACCCTCTTCATTCCAGTCCTTGGAGCCTGTTTTATTTCTGCCTCTTCTTAAATTTCTCTCTGCAAATTAGGTTAGTGATTAGGAGCGCTGACTGGATCCAAAAGTTAGGTTAAAACCCCCACTCTACTAATACCTGCTTGCTTGACCTTGAGCAAAGTACTTTAGTTGCCTCACTTTCTTAAAAATGGGGATAGTAATGGTATTAACTGCATGGGATATTGGTGAAGATTAAATGAGATAACATAGGTAAAGTGCTGAAAAGAGTGCCTGCTCCATAATAAGTACTATACAAGTGTTATGTAATTACTACTACTTATTGTGTGCCCCCCCCAGTTTTATTGAGAAATAATTGACATACATCACTGTATAAATATAAGGTGTATAGCATGATGATTTGATTTACACATACTGTGAAATGGTTATCACAGTACGTTTAATTCACATCCATTCATCTCATATAGATAAAATAAAAAGAAAAAAAAATTTCTCCTTGTGATGAGAACTCGTAGGATTTACTCTCTTAACAACTTTCCTATATATCATATAGTAATGTTAACTATAGTCATGTTGTACATTACATCCCTAGTACTTATTTATCTTATAACTGGAAGTTTGTACCTTTTGACTACCTTCCTCCAAACTTCCCCCCACGAAATATTATCTCTTTTTCTATGAGTTTGGTGGGTTTTTTTTTTTTTAAATTCAGCATAAAAATGAGATCATAGGTTATTTGTCCTTCTCTAACTTACTTCACTTAGCAGAATGCCTTCAAGGTCCATCCAAGTTGTCACAAATGGTGAGATTTCCTCATTTGTTATGGCTGAATAATGTTTCGTTGTGTATACATATACCACAACTTCTTTATCCGTTCACCCATTCATGGACACTTAGGTTGTTTCCATGTCTTGGTTATTGTAAGTAATGTTGCTGTGAACATGGGGGTGCAGTTATCTTTTTGAGTTAGTGTTTTTGTTTCCTTTGGATAGATTCCCAGAAGTGGAATTGCTGGATCATATGGTAGTTCTATTTTTAGTTTTCTGAGCAACCTCCATACTGTTTTCCATAGTGGCTGCACCAATTTTCAATCCCACCAGCAGTGCACTGGGGTTCTCTTTCTTCACATCCAAGCCACCATTTGTTATCTCTTGTCTTTTAGGTGATGTGTTGCTTACTTTGTGATGACATAGTATAAACTTACTGTCTGACCCTTCTACATACTAAGTAATCAGGCAGAAATGTTGTGAAAATGTCAGTAGCCTATTTGGACTGAGGAAAATTTCAGGGGACCTAACCATATGGAATGCTTATATTCTTTTTGCAGACCCTTAAGGGGAATATATTCTTTGTGAATTCTAAAGCTATTCAAAACCAAATGATTGGATTAAGCCTCTGTTTTGGTTCCTCTTTGAATAAGGACTTTTAACCTTTTTTGTGCCTTGGACACCTTAATGAATCCTGTGACACCTTTTGAGAATAATATTTTAAATGTATAAAATACAGTATATAAGGTGACAAACAAAATCAGTGATACAATTATGAAATGCTATAAAAATATTTTTAAAGCAAATTTGAGATTTGTTTTAATAAGTAAAGTGCTTTAATATAAAGTGCTTTTTTATTAGCACATTGAGTAACTAGATCTAGCAGCAGGTCTGGTAGTAATGATGGACATAGACAATTGTTTGACATCTGCAACAACTATAATATGATATAAAAATACCTGATTCTTATTGGTGAGGAAGTCCTAGCTACAGTAATATTAGCATTTTATTACCAGCATTATAATAGAAGGAAGTGCTAAATTTCAGTGTAAGATGGTGAAAATTAAGATGCCATTTTTTTTGCCATTTATCTTCACAGGTCCTCTGAATCCCATCCAGGGACCCCACATCCTAGGACATAGGTTAGGGGAAGCAGGAAGGGAGGGGAATAGAGAACTCCATAAAAAGGAATTCAAAAAGAGCTAGCAAAAGCAGTGGTTTTACTCGAGGGAGCGAATAATGACAAGAAGGCCAAAAACAAGTGGGAAAAGAATGTGTTTTTGAGTTAGTGTTAAGGTAACCTGAGCAGTTGCTCCTGTTAAAGTGGATCAAAGAATTGAAAGGACATATTTTAAGATCGTTGTATATGTATCTGCCATTTTACTGAATTTTTTAAGAACATAGGACTGCAGAGTAGTTAGCTTCTGGAAGAGTACTAAAAGTTGCTTAGTAGTAATATCAGAGGGCTGTGTCTGGAGACTTGTCTTTTGCTTAAATCACCTATGGCAAGATTAAGGGACAGGGTCCTGCTTCCGTTTCTTTGTGGGCAAATGAAGATGATAGTGCCTATCTGTTGCACAGTATCATTCTATACTTGGAGGAGGGGCCAAGGTGTAAATTGGCCTGTACACATAGTAGACACTGAACAAAGATTTGCTTTTAAAAAGAATGAAAGTGTTGAGGCTGTATTGCATTTCCATTAGATTCCATCTTGATTTGCTTTTGGAGGAGATGGGTAAATTCAGTGGTCAAAAGTTAAAAAAAAAAAAAGCAGTGTGTCCTATTTACAGTGTTTTGTGTGTCTTCTTGATTAGCAGTTGAATTTTTAGTGAGACTAAAGAAGCTGGTGAATAAATGTCTAATAGTTTTACTAGTTCATCTCTCTAGTGTTAAAAGATAATTTTCAGAAAAAGGTAAGTGAACACATGTGAGGGAGCCAGGCAAATGTAAGTCAAACAGTACAAATTTATATGAATTAAAGGAA